ACGCAAAGTACATAAAGCCCAACTTAGGGAATACCACCAAGCTTAAAAGAATTCCTAAACGATATCGTACAATAATCCTTAGCCAAGATCATTGGGACAAGTTCGTTGAACACACAGTCTGAACAATTCAAGGTTAAATTCCTTTTTTTTCATTATCACTTTTATTTTATAGTTTCTTAAAATAAAAAATACTTATAAGATCCGTGAATTTATTTTTTGGAAGGATATGTCGACAAAGACGATAGAAGCGCGTTCTAAGTCGAATTATAATCACCGGATGGGACGGGGAGGATATACGAGTTTAAGAGAGAAATTGGTAAGTTCTATATTTTATTCAATTATGTATGTCTCATGTGTTTGTTAGTTAAAATTGTGAAAGTGGAACTACCAATTAGAGCATTATACTTTCAAGTTTTGAAGTACATTCTATACTAAAAAGTGAATTTAATATGCCACCACTGTTGGATTAATTAAAAACTGGGATAATTTTAATGCCAGGGGTATTTTGGGAAAAGTTTCATTATTTTAAGTCTTGCTATTTGTTTAAGTTTTGTTTTTCCATTGGATGTATTTAACTATGTTTCTTTCATGTTTAGTATAAATAGGAGTAATATATATATATATATATATATATATATATATATATATATATATATATATATATATATATATATATATATATATATCGTGACTTTTACGAGTTGACAACTATGATTACTAGGTAAATAATAAAGTACTTGCCAAAGATGAAATACCACCCCGGTCATTAATGTGGTGTAAAGGACGTGAAAACAAAGCAGGCGAAATAGAAGATGCTAATGTAAAACTCATGGCAGAAAAACTAGTAAGTTATTGAAACTTTCTCCTTGGTTATTTGATTACTATAACAAATGTGACTTGTTAAATAAATATTGACGATGTTATTTTGATATCTTTTTGTGTACAGGTGGAACATGAAAAACAAATTAAAGATGGAGATGTGAAGCTTGATCCTGGGATGGATGCCATGTCATTAGTCTTTGGCAAGGATAATGGTGGATTCTTAAAAGGGGTTGGCACAGGTGTGACTGCTAGTAGATATTTCAATATTCCTAGAACCAAAGGATCTTCAAAAGAACAAATTGCGGACCTAAAGTTTGAACTACAGAATGAGAGACTTGAGCTCCAGAAAAAAGATGAAGAACTTAAAGCGTTGTCAACAAAGGTGAGAGAACAAGATAAAACACTAAAGCTAGTTTTAGCTCATCTTGAATCACAAGGAACAATGATACCAAATCTAACATCTCATCCGAATCAGTCTCCAACACAAGTAAGTGAATTGTTATTGTTTTTGCAAAATGCATTTATTTCATAAATTGACCCTTTTCCTTCAATTTTGTAGGTCTTTTCAGTGGACAAGAATGTTGAATCTCATGGTACTCCTGTTACTAATACTATCATAGAGAAAACACCTATCACAGATAAAGCATTGACAAATGAACCAGTTACACGAGTAAGTAATTATTTGATAAGTTCATTGATTTTAATATTTTTTGTAGTACTTTGTAAGTAATTATTTGAAAAATTCATTGATTTTAATATTTTTTGTAGTATTTTCTGATTTCCATATATTATTGAATTATTGTTTTCTAGGTAATAACAAAAACCGGCAAAATAACCGTTGAATCTAAGAGTGTGACTACAAATTCACATCCAAAAACAAAAGATACTCATTCACCAAAACTCCCACAGGTATGTATTTTAAAATGCAAATATAAATATGTTGTATTCTTTTTTATCTAAATATGTGCAATCATTGTAGACAATGAAGACAACGAAGTGCATTCTACAATATCCAGATAATAGAAGCAACGTTGCTTATGGTACAGTTTACATTTCTTCAGAAAGACAAGCCATTCATGGAGTTCCACTTCAAGACGACTGCTATAAAGTATCAATTGATGAAGTGATAAAGGGAGCTGCATTTTTACCATATCAAAACGGTGATATCAAAACAGTTGAGGAGGCACATAAAACTTTTGTTGCATGGCCCAAATACCTTGTCAAATGTGACAAAAAAGTTTGTTTCTTCTATTAACTACATTATGCATTAAACTTTTTTCTTTTGGAAATTAGTTTTTTAAATTATTAGTTATTCAAGTTTGGTTCAATGTTGCTACAGATACCACGAATGAGATCAACTCAAGATGATGAATGTAAAAGCTCCAAGAAGCAAAAAAAAAGTTTTATAACAAGAGAGAGCCTTGGCAAGCATACAAGGAGCACTTTCAACAAGACTAAACAAATCTAGTTTTTGGTTTATGCCTTTTTTCCTTTCTTTAGCATATTTAAGTAAACTTGTTTTGATTACAAGAATTTTTACCTTTTAACTAGGGAAATTATATATGAGAATTTTCATTTGAATTATTATTAATATTGATCTTTTTTTTATCGTTTCACATTGTCCATTTATGGTTACATTTATTTAACATTGTTTTTTATTCCATGTGTCTGTAATTATTTTACCATCATGTTTTATTATATTTTATCACTAAAATGTATAGAATTGTTACTTTACAAAAAAATGTGTCGTGTGACTAAAGGGTTAACAATAGTCATGATAGAAACTCAATATGTGTCTACAAGTGTTTTATAGTCACTTTTAATTAAACATGTGTGACTAAAAGTAAAAGAAATACAACATTGAAAATTTTTGTGTCTCGGAAAAGATACACATGTCACTCTATTTAATAATCATGTGACTATAAGTAATATCACAATAGGGTAAATGTAGTCACGGTGAATGAATTTGATGTCGATACAACACTAATGGTTACGATTGTATTGATTCGCGATATCTAAATTATGATCAATAGCCACACTGAAAACTATAGGTGTGTCTAAAGGATAACAAATGTTATGGTTATGAAAAATTTGTGTGGCTAAACACTAAACAATAAGGACAATAAACATTAGTTGTGTATCTACAATGATTTTATAGTCATGCTTCAATTTAGTATACATGACTAAAAACTAAATAGTATTGTCAATGTAGATATATGTGTGTCAAAATCTTAACATATGTCACTTATTTCTACATTCATGTGGCTGTATGTTCTATAATAGTCATAGTTATAAAAACATTATGTAACTATACGACATTTGCAACTATGGTTTAAGTATGTATATGTGACTATAATAAAAACAATCGTCACACTCTGAAAATTTTTAATGTCTAAATGATAAAACTGGTCATACTCACTACTAGAAAAACAGCCTTTTACGATGCTCATTGCGCGTCGTAAAAGGCTCAGACGACGCGCAAATGCGCGTCATGGAAGGCCCTGTCATAAAGAAAGACGACGCGCATTTACGACGCGCATTTATGACGTGCAATTACGACACGCATTTACGACACGCAATGCGTATCAAGGAAGGCCCTGTCATAAAGGAAGACGACACGCATTCGCGTGTCATAACCTTACGACGCGCGTGTTAATGACATGCAATGCGTATCAAGAAAGCCCCTATCAAGAAAGGCCATGTCATAAATGAAGATGACACACATTTTTGCGTATCATAATTTTAAATGTTTAAAAAAAATATTATTTATAGATTTAATTATTTTCAAATTAAATTTTTATTTAATGTTTCATAATAGAAAATAAAATATCATATAGAAAAAATAGAATCCATTGCATAAATTTAATGTCATATAATTCTATTTCTTACAATATATAAATTTGCATCTAATCTACTATGTACATCAAGTTCCAACTAAGTAAAGTTGCATCTTGCCTTTCATAATTCTTTAAAAGTAATGTTCCAAACAGCTGATTATATGGATATGCAATTGTACATTGGCCCATCTCACTCAATAATGACTTAGCCAAATTCAACTCCAAGTCTTTACTGCATCTTGCTGATAATGCTGCAAGATTTAAATCAAGTGGCTTCATATTCCTTTCTTCTATCAACTTTACCTAATGCACAAAATACATAGAAACAAAAAAAAAACATTGTAGAGGAAGGGGTAATTCGGGAAAATGTGAGGGGTATAATATAATAAAAATGCAAATACTTAATACCACTTTCATGCCATCATGGAAACCTGTTGTGAATTACATAAAGGCCCTACACCGACACAAGGCTTTTGTTTGATTATGATCCTCAGCTGTTAAACCAAATACAAAAAGCATGTCAGAAGAATAAAACTAGATGTAGATGAAACTTTAAAAGAGGTTGATCCATCACATTACATAAAGGCCCTCCACTACCTTAAGCAATATTTGTAGAAAAAGTACTTCTTCAGGGCTAAGGTTGCCTACATAAACGGTTGTGTACTGATAACTCTTAATTTGAGAAATTTTTCAAAGACAAGTCCATCATTTTTAGCCATTGACAATTCCTGGACAACTTTTTCAAGTCCTTTGCTAATAGCTTGCATTTCCTCTGCCAAATATTTTAATTGTACCTGAAAAATAATAAATAATCAATAAATTCTTAATTACATTTACACATGTTTTAAATTTCTAAATATTTGAATAAGATTAATTGTGATCACCACCCTTGATGCAGGTTCCAAACTGTCAAGATCCTTGGAGAAATCAAGGAGTTCAGGTAGTTTGTCAACAAGCACCAAAAATTAATTAATTATCCACAACATTATCTTGTTATTTTAAAATTTAATTATTTTCCATACAACATATTAATCAAATCTGAACCAAATAGCAGCGCCTAAAATGACACCAAATTAATCAAAGTCAAAGTCTAAGTCAAAATCAACTATAACAAAATATTATTATATTTAATAACATAAAATAAACAAATGAAAATATTGACCTCTTGTTGTTCCTTGGTTCAAAGCATTTCCAAGTGTGACAATTGTTTGCATTACACTCCTGAACTTACAGGAACTTCTGATCTGATAAAAGTTTAATTAGATTAAATTCTTGTGAATTGAATCATAACTATGCTACTGTTATAGCAAGAAATGGTTATCTGGGTGCTACAGTTGAAGGATGCTTCTCCAGATGGAAGGTAATTTAGAGGGTCGAAGGAATCTGCTTTTTGATTAAAAGACCAAAATACCCTCGTTATATATATATATATATATATATATATATATATATATATATATATATATATATATACACACAATACATTGAACTAAAATTTTCTTTTTTAGTGGTGAGGGCAGGGGGCTTGAACCAAGGTCATCTGGACAAAATGTTGGTGGGCCTCCTAGTTATTAAGATGCTGTGAGTGACGGTCATAGCCCTGTTGATACCAAGAGGTAAATTAATTAATTAATAAGTCAAAAGATTTATTTACTTGTAAATTGTAATATATATATATAAAGTAATGAAATCTAGTCTAACTTGTAAGCATTTTAAGGACTGGTGAACATTAACCATCAAGAAATTCCGGCAGCAACTGCTCCACCACCACCAGCTGCCGCCGCCACACCACCTCCAGTTACCACTACGCCGCCACCACCTCCAGTTACCACTACGCCGCCACCACCTGCAGTGACGGTCAATAATGAAAACGATGGGTTTGACTTTTTTGATCCCCATGGTGTTATTCCTGCTCCTGCCTTTGCGTTTGCCCTGCAAGGATCAGGTGGTGGAGAGATGGAGGATTTGTTTGGTTCTCTATCAGAGTCTTTCTCTTCTTCAAATGCTTTGGCTGTTGTAACATCTACTTCATCTATAACCACTGAAGTTCATCCTCCAGCAAATACTAATCCTTATCTCACCTTCGATACCTCATCGACAAGTCGTGTGCGTGAGTGTCTTAAAAGCTGGATTCTACACACACATATTGATAGTTTGTTTATGTTGTAAATTTACACTCTTTATGCATTGATTGCAGGCATTTGATGATCCGTTTGGTGATGGTCCTTTCAAAGCTGTTCCTTCTACTGATGGATTTCCGGCTTAACCACCAACATCACCCTTCACTACAACTGTTGCTGAACCACCATCATTTTCAGTTGACCCAATGTCAGGGTCAGGGGGATTTGGGGATACTTTTGATTTTGATTCAACTGTTGACATTTTTAGCTGATATATTGCCTCCACCTGGACCCTCGCAAATTGCTTTTCCTTCTCAAAATGGTCAAGCATCTAGTCTTTCAGCAGAAGCAGCCTATGCCACAGTTAGCTTTTCCACCTCAAGGTGTCCAGCAGCAGCAACCTATGCCACAGTTAGCTTTTCAACTTCTAGGTGGACACCAATCTATGCCACAATCAGCTTCTCAACTTCCAGGTGTGCAGCAGTAGTAGTAGTTGCCACAGTCAGCTTTTCAACTTCCATGTGACCACCAGTCAGCTTTTAAAAGTCTAAGTGTTCAGCAGTCTATGCCACAGTTAGCAGCTTTACAATTCCAAGGAGGCCAACAGTGTATGCCATAGTCAGCAGCTTTTCAACTTCCATATATGCATTAGGTCACATTTTGTGCAATGTATACGTCTTGATTCATCAGAAAAGTAATCACTAGTCTCTTGATGAGATGTACTCACAATCTTCTGATGGATGAATCCTTTGATGCCATTCAAGACTACTTTGGGTATCTAACCCTGAATCTAATCTTCTGATGGATGAATCCTAAAAACACATGCAAGGTGTTTAAAGAGATCTCTTACTCTTTACATATAGCCAACATGAATATTAATGTAGCATATGAATTTTAAATAGCAGTACCTGCTCCACATTATTAAATTACTGGAAATGACATGGAGCATTATGAAGTGGGGCCTCAAATATTGCAATTCGAAATGTGTTTATGGGATACAAAGCCTGGATAGAATCGCTTTCAATTTAGTCTGTCATTAGAATATTTTTTCAAAGTTGTAAATCTTGAGAACAGAGCTGACATAAAATCATAAACAAATATATATAGTCATCCTTCCTGCCAAAGAGTTACCTTTAAGTACATTAGACCCAAAGCAATTATAGCCCCAACTGCAGTTACATCTATATTGATCTGGGTTCCATCCATCATCTGCAAGCAACAGAAAACAAAAGCAGAAAATTAATGAAAAAATAGAAAGGGTAATCAACTTTCCAAAAAAACAAGTAAAAAGCACAACCTGCCCCGAACCATGATTGTGGTCATCCATTGATCCGTTGGAGAGATGGGATCTTTCCTGAGAAAAGGAAATTTAACAAAAAAAAGTCATCTACATGAAATATTAATTCTAGTCATCTTTAAAGTTTAGGGTGTGTGTGTGTGTGTGTGGTAAAGATACTTGGACTAGGGTGGATGCGATTAGCCTACCGCCTACTGTTTTGCTCAATGTAACCCCAACAAACATATGATATTAATTCTCCACTGAAATTGAAACAAGAGAAGAAAATATTTACATACCTAGTTTCACCTAACAAAATTTAGTTTAACTATTTCTTAGTTGTGATAATCTACAGCCTGAAAAGAAGGAATGTTCACAAGAACGATCCTTAGTTACCATCTCCAACAAATTAAGAAAAAGAATAAATACAGGCTTGCACTGTATGCATTCGAGTGCAAGGTGTGATTAGGTACCATATCACTTGGTCTTGTGTACATCAGGTAATGTTATAAGGTATGAATTAGGTAAGATTCTTCTTTTAAGCATTTCTTCAAACACTTGGAGTGCATAGCTCATCTCCCTCCTTTTCTGCAAGTTTCCAGAATCTAGGGTTTAATATTCTATTCTCAAAACATATGTTCAATATTATCAATACAAGCAGAAAGTAAAGAGTCCACAAGAACATACAAAAATACCTACTTACTTTTTTTGAAAGAGCAAAGGATCGAGAATTTTGAGGTAAGGATGATGACGATGCGCTGGCTGTGAGCATATGCGAGCAATAGAAACAGGAAAATGAAGGCTGAGAAATTAAATCTAGCTAGTGTTTGCAAACACATTTGAACCTAAAAATTGATTTCAGGGGCAATCTTGCGAGGATTTCGAGAAGGAGAGACTTAGTGAGGTTTTGAATATCATATGAGAACGTATGAGCAAGGAGAACAAGCCCTAGAGCTGATGATTCCGAAAGAGGGTTTACTTGTGTTGAATCGATTAGTGTGATTACCTGAGATTGAGAGTGTTTTCTCTTTCTTGAATAGGTGATGATCTGATAACGGTGGCTTGGAAATGAGTTCTGATCACCATCATCATCGATGTGATTGCCGATTTGATTGATTGAATTGTTGGGTTCCATTTAACAGTGGTTTGAGGTTGGAAATGGAAATGGAAAGAGCGCCGCCAAGGAGATTGGGGAGCGAAAGAAGAAAGAATCAGAGATGTTCGAAGTGTGGATTGAGTTTTTCGGGTTCAATTTCAACTCAATTAGTAAAGATTCCAAAACGATTACACCTCCCTGTACCCCACTCAATAATCGAAACCATTGAAATTCTTGAATTTTGTATGAACTTTTCTCATGAATGATGTTCACGTCGTCGGCTCCAAAGCGCCATAATCATGCCGAGATCCAGAATCGTATACGATTGTTGTTTACAAATCTGTTGTTGAACCCTGAATAATCGACCTAGGTATTCCCACCGCTGAAGATGAAGATGAAGGACCTAGGGCTTTTTCTTGCTAAGTAGAAGAGGCGGGGGATTAATTTTTGGGATACAATAGGCGCCAATAATTTTAGTCGATTTCATTTCCCGCCTAAAACGCGTGTTTCACTTAAAAATTCTAAAGCGACACACTTACATGACGCACAATTTATGAAAGGCGCCCTCCGCATTTATTTATTTTTCTTTTCTAACACTAATTTTAGGGCGCGCACAAATGCGTGCCCTCTATTCTTCAAATTTTGCAAAACTGACAGTATTTTTTAGGGCACTTACAAATGCGCGTCCTCTATTAGCGAGTGTCATTGTTTGCGCGTCATTAAAGGGCTTTTTTCTTGTAGTGACTTCAAACAAATTGTTATGTTCATAAGATGAATATTCGCCACTGTTATATATACTTTTGTGTCTATAAATCAATTACAGTCATGTTTAATTGATTTTCTATGTAGAAAAGATATAAAATAGCCACACTACAACTTTTTTATATGTTTGAATCATAGCAATGGTCATGATAAATTATACATATGTGGCTGAAAGTTATTGGATGAACATAGTTAAAAAATAGTATGTGTCTTTAAAATACTTTTGGTCATTGAAATTATAAATTTATGTGACCAATTTGGGAACATGGTCATGATTTATTTTATTATGAGCGTGTCTAAAAGATTGTTAATAGTCATATTTTTTTTGTGTGTGACAAATTATTAGCAAAACGTCATAGTGCAAATAAATTCATGTTGCCATTTGTTGAATATGGTCATGTTTCGCTTAATTTTGTGTCTCTAAACGATAGTCAATAGTCATAATGAACATTATTTTGTGTGACGAATTATTATCAATACGCCACAGTGAAAAAAAACTTCATGTGACCATTCCATGAAAGATCGTCACTAAAATAACTAGAAGGTGTGTCTATAAAGGGTTTATAGTCACAATATTGGATAAAATGATAGATTACAACAACAAAAAACTTCACCCTATAGCCACACTTTTATGCTATGGTCATAGTTTTTCATATGATATAGCCACTAAACTTAAAAGTGGTCGTATGGTGTCTAAAATGGCACGGCCTTCGGTGACACTTTCAATGAAAAAAAAAGTGTGACTATAGGCATATGGTCACAATTTTTTGGTGTGACCATAACTCATTTTTGTACTAGTGAGAAAACTATTTACCAAAGACCGGCAGTGAAAAGGGTGGCATAACAGTTAAAATGGTGGCTGAAATAGCCTGTGACTTGAGAGAATCGGGTATTGTGTGGTGCTGCAAATGAGAGACATATCTATTTCTTATTATACATAAAACTCTATGCCAACGACATGTCATCTGGATTGCTTTTAAGAAACGACGTCGCTTTCCTTTTTATGCAACATGAATTATAAATAAATAGAAAATTAATATATTTTTGTAACCTATATCGACGACATGTCGTCGGGATAAATTTTTAGAAAACCGCGTAAACCCTTTTCGTTTCCCACCTAAACTATGGCGATGACAAGTCGTCGGCATAGATACCAAGGTCAAAAATTTCTGGTCAACTATATACCAACAACAAGTCGTCTGCATAGCTTAATTTGTAGCGACGATTTTTGTCGTCGGCATAGGGTCTTTTTCTTGTACCGATAGTATTCATATTATTATTTATTTATTCTTTGTATACTCTTAAATATGTGATTGCATTGATTCATACACTAATATTAACAAAATTTATGTCTTTGTTTTCCGCACGTAAATTCCAATATTAAGGGTGTTTCTACTATTTTCGATATTAATCGTACTTGGCTACGATGGTTTTTTTGTCGACAATTGGATAGAAGAAGAGAGAAATTAATGACGTTTACGATATAAGATAATTGAGAAAGAATGGTAAGAAAAAATCAATTTTAAAAGGACGATGCACACCGTTTTGATCGCGACAATGAGATGGTCACTACTGAAGGTTCTCTCTCTCTCTCTCTCTCTCTCTCTCTCTCTCTCTCTCTCTCTCTCTCTCTCTCTCTAACGTTGATCTCTGTCTCTTTCTGTTCCTCTCTTATTGACTTCTCTCTGTGTTTCTATTGTTTCACTCTCTCTAGAGTACCCAAAGATGGTTAACAGATATGGTAATTGATGAAATTCTTGAGGACAAGAGGGGGAGGGAGTAGGGGTGTAACCGATTCTGGAACTAGATGAATCGATAACAGAAGATCGATTAACGAGTGAGCGGAGAGCCGAGAATCGGACATAACACCACTAACCAGTTTCGGTTCGGTTTTGGTTTAAGTACGGTTCTACTAGGAAGTGTCCTATCTAAGAAGGTATTCGGAAATGGAACTGACCCAAACCTAACCCTAACAAAACTGAAATAATTAAAAACCAAAAATAATGAATTTGAGAAAATGAAAACCGGACCGAATACAATTAATCGTTTCCAGACTGTTCTGGTTTAGGATTTTCAGTTAAAAAGCTTATCTTTAAGAGGGAGTGGAGAAATGGGCCTTCTTTTAAATTTTTTTTATTTAAAACTATAATTAAGGAAAAGAAGAAAAATGTATTTAAAAAGGTAAAACAATCATTTTATATACACAAACGACTAGTGTTGTAATGTTTTGAAACTATATGGACATATGGACATGATCTATTAATTTTTCAAAAGTTGTATCCTATTATTACGACCAAACCATAGTGACAAGTGACCACTTCAGTAATTTACTTTATTTTATTTTAACTTGGCGGTGAGATCATTGTTGTCTCCTAACATAGATTTAGAAGT